AACTGTCTTAAGTTTACTCTTCATCCCTTTGTCGATGATCATGTCAAATGAGTCCAAGCTTTGCCCAACCACTGAGCTGGATTTCTTGATCATTTTGTTGATTCTGTTTTTGTCCTCAGCAGTGAGGCTCCTGTCCCAACACAAGACAGCATAAAACACCACACTGGACATAATCCCCTGATAAAACACATTCAAGAGCCTCCTACTTATATCAAAGGAACTTAGCTTCCTAAGAAAAAACAATCCGGACTGGGCCTTTTTAACAACAGCATCACTGTTCCTTTACCAGTTTAACTTATTATCGAGGCACACCCCTAGATATTTATATGTCTCCACAATTTCAACAGGTTGGCCTTTGATGACTACTGGAGAGAATGTTTGTTGTTTCCTTCTAAAATCAATAACTAGCTCTTGTGTTTTGCCAACACTGAGTTGTAGAAAATTTGCATCACACCATCCAACAAAGGAGTTAACTTCCTCCCTGTAAGCCAGGTCGTCACCCCGGGAGATCAGGCCCAGTAGGGCAGTGTCATCGGAGAACTTCTGTAAGTGACAAGATGGTAAACTGTGCCTATAGTCAGCTGTATACAGTGTAAATAAAAAAGGAGATAAAACTGCCACCGTGGTGCACCAGAGTTTGTAAAAATCAAGTCCGAGCACTTACCCCCAACCCTCACTTCCTTATATAGGAAACTTTTTACTGATTGCTTAATAAACTGACCTGTATTGGAATGTTTACTGTCCTGACATCTGTCCTTCGGGAATTACACAACATTTTTGGCAAACTCCACTTTGGTTTTTGTCTTGGGTCCAGTTCTGATCATTCTCACCTTTTATGTTTTTTTCCCTTGTTGTGAGTCTGCAGGTTGGCCTCTGGAGGGCACCGTGGTGACACTCTACTCAGATGCACTAGCTAGTGTGCAAGCTGCACACCTGCAATTCATCACTCATCAACTCCTATGTTTTAAAAGGAACTGGATGCCAAACACACTCTGTCAGAGTGTTGCACATTGTGGTAACTTCAGTCTAAGATTCTCAAAGCTGACTCACACTCCTGCACAGTAGGTGGCGGTAATGCACCTTAAGTTGGTTGCCACCCGCCATTTAACCGGAAAGGAAGAAGAAGAAAGAAGATTCTCAAAGTAATTTTCTAATCCATTGTTCTGTCTCCTCAGTGACCAGCTGCTTGTATCCCTGATTCCTACAATTAGGGCTCCCTGTTCTGGATCTCGCCCTCCTGGAAATCCTCTGCGTTGCCTCCCAAGTGTCTTTATATCATCATCATCGTCATTCTCCTCTGTTGTCTCCCTACACCGTCAACTGTAAGAAAACCGTTCATTTAACAAAACTATTCCTGGACCTCTCAATTTCTCAGCCTACTCCTTAGTGAGTTGGAACAATCTATTCCTGGACCCTCGACTCCATTCCACCTAGCCACTTGGATAACCCACTCTGTAAGCTGTATGTCATTATTTGCTGCCTTTTTCACCAACACCTACTTGACTGCTCTTCCTCTCTTAGATACCACACCACTGATGTCTGGAACCAACTATACATCATCTGCTAAATAAATGTGGTGTTCTGGTCTCTTGAGTTTATCTGCATGTGGACCAAACAATTACCTAAAACCATGACAGTTTGCTTAATAGGCATTTGACAGGAACAGCTCTGCTTAAAGAGAAAGTAACACCTAATTTATTTTTTTTTTTGCTGATAACCTGTATAGGTGAGTGTCTAATGGTGCTGAATTTATGTGTAATCATTAGTGTGGCAGTTTAGTGCAACTTACCTTAAATTAAAATTTTCTGCCCAAAACCGTAATTATATCTCAATCTTCAGGTTAAAACACTGCTCCACATTTATGTAGAACCAGCTGAAAAACGTGATGTTGTCAGCAAATTACTACGTGGCTGCACTGCGCTGGTCTCCAGGTGAGGTAGCCGCAGCTCCACCTGGCTCAGCCACCCACCTGCTGATATGACATGCTGGTGCTCTGAGCCACTTGCCTCCTTGAAAAAATAATGCCCTCCTCCCCTTTTCATCTAATGATCGCGGTTAACAGGAAATCCTCCAGAATGCTGCAGATTCTGTGTCTGCTCTTCTCCTGAGCGATACGACTTGTGTGAGTGTGTGCTTACGTGCACACACTCGTTAACAACTCATTTTTAGATTGAGAATCTCCGACAGCACACGCGGGAAGGTTGAGGGGGGTGCGGTCTATTAGTGCTTCAGTTCCGCTCTCTCGGTCCGCCAGCCGACGCCTCTTTCACAAGCGATTTCCTAACAGGAAGTGAGGATGAAATGCGTCTCCACCCATGTCTTGACCCTCACTTACTGGTATTGTTGGATCTTGACTTGGACTCGGACTCGGACACTTGACTTGGACTCGGACACTTGACTTGGACTCGGACACTTGACTTGGACTCGGACACTTGACTTGGACTCGGACACTTGACTTGACACGGGGAACACTTGACTTGACACGGGGAACACTTGACTTGACACGGGGAACACTTGACTTGACACGAGGAACCAGGAACACTGAGACAAACTGCAGCAGCAGGCGTGGGACCCAGCAGGAACTGCAGCAGCAGGCACAGGACCCAGCAGGAACTGCCGCGTGGGGAACCTGCAGGCACAGACCCTGCAGGCGTGGACCAGGAAATGGTTGAGCAGCGGGAGCGACGCGTGGAAGCCCAGCTCGGCGGCAGGTACTCGACATCCATTCAGAGCAGGTGCCCATCCCGATCTGCTGGGTCCATCGGCGGAGGCTCGAGTGAAGGGAAGCCGGAGAAGAGCGGGGAGACCAGCCCTACCACACCGGAGAACAATGGCATGTGTAGGGGGTGTAGCTCCCTTGTGGCTCCAGGATCCACCGGAGAAGAGCGGGGAGACCAGCCCTACCACACCGGAGAACAATGGCATGTGTAGGGGGTGTAGCTCCCTTGTGGCTCAAGGATCCACCGGAGAAGAGCGGGGAGACCAGCCCTACCACACCGGAGAATAATGGCGTGCGTAGGGGGTGTAACTCCCTTGAGGCTCCAGGATCCGCGGCTTCAGGAGAAGAACGGGACGGGGCAAAAACAGCAGGAGGTGAATGACCCTGACCACCCCGAAGACAAAGTAGGATGCGCCAGGATTTCCCAGAGGACTTCGACCACCCCGAGAACAGGTAGGATGCGCCGAACACCAAAACTCCAGGCCAGAAATCTCCCTCTGCTGAAAGGGAAAAAAAGAAAAAATAATCCTCCAGAAGCAGGTGTTAGCTCACCACAGGTCCAGGTTTGGTCGGTTCATTCTGTCATGTTCTGCGGGTGGAGGTGGCAGACCATGTGTGGTAGTGGGTTCCAGGAGGCAGAAGATCAGGCAGACGGATGAAAAAATAAAAGATGTTTAATTGTAGACTGGGAGCAACAGGACGAACGAACATGCACAAACGACAATGAACCGACAAAGACAGCAACAAGGAGGGAGGTATAAATACACAAGGGCATCAGGAACACCTGGGCAGAGTAATGAGGGACAGGTGAGAACAATAAGGCTAATCAAGGGCAGGAGAGACACAGTCAGGGAGGCTGGGGCGGATCATGACAGAGTCTGGGGATTGAATCCTGATTGGACCATTTTTTTTATATCAGCCATGCACCCGAGGCGCACTGGGGGACAGGCCGACCCTTCAGCCACATCTTCGGTCGCTGCCTGGGATACCTCGTTGGACGCTTCGTCTCGAGTCACTGGGGGGAGTCAGTGTCTCCCTTCTCTGGCACGATGCCATGCACGCTTGCCGGTCCGAGTAATGCTGAGATCCTAACGGCGAGCGTGGGGGATCAGAGGTGCCAGGGCCTCCGCCAGTGGCAGACACACTCTGGCGGTGGCAAAACATCTTTTTTTATGCCTCCACCTTCAGATCGGGCCATTTTTTTAATATCCGCCACAGATCTCTCTGAAGAACTCACAGCATTGATGGCTTCAGCAACACTGTGCCACTCTGTGGATTTTCTCTTATTTATTTATTTATTTTTGCAAAAGCACTTCCTTTCATTTTTCCACCTCACCCACAAGTACCTCAATTTCTGCTTCGGTGAAACTGTGCTTCCTTAGTCTGCGGTCATCATCGTTAATGGTGGAGCGCTGCAACAAGCCGGCTTATGTATATGCATGAGATCCACAAGGCACTTTGCATTGACCATTTATGGCAGAAAGAGGGGGTGTTGAGGGCAGGGTGTGACTCAGAAACAACTGAGAACATTTCTAGGTAGCATGTGATTTGCTTTAACTCCATGTTTTATAGGTCACAAACCTACTTTGTGTAAGTACATTTTGTTGCTGAGCTTGAGTACGGTTTTAGTAAGGATTCTACGCAATATTTTATAAATGAGACCCCTGAACGTTTTGATCCCAAAATGGTATAAAAAGCTGAATGATTGCGGAATGAGTTGAGTGCCAAAAAACTTACGGAAATAGAATAAAATACTTTATAATAAAGAGAAACAGGAATACTGTAAGCAGCTTTAAAACATTTCATTAGTAGGAAATAAAGTACAGCTATAAATTTGTGATAAAGTCCACCATAAGTGTTTCATGTGTGATTAAATTACTAAACAGCACTCTTTGGTTTTAGTTTTGTAATCAGATCGTTTCTCTACTTTAATTAGAAATAAGGAAAGTTCGCATGGGTTTGTGATTTATTTTACTTTACCACAGAATAAGTCAGTTCTTGAATTTAAGTTTGTTGCAGTTTCACCGAGTAGCCACAGGAGGGCGACAGTTTCACTCGGAAAGAGAAAAAAAAACCACCAGACGATATAAATGTGGTTTAAACTTGTGACCAGCTGAAAGCTGCGACTGCAGCATCTTGTTCTTGCTTATTTTTGTTATTTTCCATTCATATATCAGTCAACGCTGGTTTCCTCCTGCTAAAAAACGGCTCCGCCTGTTCTCCGGTCGTCTGTGGTCAAAATGTTGTGGCTCATGGAGTCAGATTAAAGGACAGTCTAAGGTGGTTTTTGATCAGGTGTTTATTTACACGTTAAACTAGTGGCTGCTATAAAGAACATTTTTACAGTTTATTTACATCCACTGTAAGGCTTCATGGGACAAACAACAGTAAACTGAGACAAAACAGTTCAATGCATTTAAATAATAGCAACAAAAACATTTAAATAAAGTGTTTGGTAGATTGTTGTTTTTCACAGTAATCTACCTGGAATTATGGAGTGTCTTGCAGAGGATTCTGGCTAAAAGTGGACTTGATCTCTACGTGTGTGTGTGTGTGTGTGTGTGTGTGTGTGTGTGTGTGTGTGTGTGTGTGTGTGTGTGTGTGTGTGTGTGTGTGTGTGTGTGTGTGTGTGTGTGTGTGTGTGTGTGTGTGTGTGTGTGTGTCAAATAATCAGGATTTGGTTTGTTAAAACATTCTCTGAATGCATCATCTGAAGCCAGATAATCTGGAGGATTAAACACAAGCTCGTGTTAAAGTTTGTGGTCTGGAGGATGTTAATCTGACTCTGGTTGGGTTTGTAAATATTAGAAAACAGTTATGTTTCCAGGCGTTTACTCTTAAGTGCTTTGGTTGAGTTTTATTTTAAAATTCACACTAAAGTTTCTTCAATAACCAGGAGAGGACTTAGTGTAGACAAACAGAAGAACAAGTAACGTGACTTATCCTACTCCTCGCTGCTGGAGAACCCACCAGAGAACCTAAAGGAACACTTTATCACTTTGATGCATCTTTTGATCGATGGGAGTTCAGATATGGTAGAAGATTCATTTACATTTTATTCAAGACTGGGAGGTAGAAGCACCCTTCGCTGTCTGGAGCGCCCCTGTTCTCCTCCATCTCCTCCTGGTCCTTGGTGGGTTCTCTGCTATAAACCCCGGTTATCCATCAGAATCCTGCTCATGGCACTGCAGGAACATTTCTAGTGTTAGTAGATCTGAGGAGAGTCAAACAGGTTAAAAAAGTGACAGGAAGTCTCACTAGCCCTTCAGAATAAAAGCCACAAGTGAAAGGGCTGAGTCATGAATTCATCAGCTGTTCCTATGTTTGTGTAAACAGGAAGTTCAGAGCTGGCACCGGCCAGGTTAATAAACCATTTATTTATGACGCGATGTTTCGGCTCCAGCATCAGCTGCATCGCTCACAGAGCATCAGAAAGACGGAGTTCTGAACTGAAGGTATTTTTGTTCTAGTTTGGAACCGATTTTTGAGATGAGATGAAACAAACATAACTAAAGTGACTCCATGATTGGTGGTAGAAGCAGTAACAGGAATGATCAGAACCCTCCGGGTCAGCTGGATCTGCTGCAGCTCAGGTGTCTGGTTACGGTGCTCACCGTGGATCAGTGCTGCATAAATAAAGTGCTCTGAGAGGAGACCTGGATCCGTCAAACACTCACTCAACGCTGGGTTCGACACAAACGCCACACACATCCCGAGTATTGACCTCCAACCTCTGGAACCTTCTCTAGTCCTCCTGCTCTTATCTGTTACAGCCTGACACTTCCACCATCGGGAGCCAGAGGAACTCGAGTTACATCTGGTCTTTTCTGATAGTTAGCACCTACAGCTAGAGTGTATGTGGAAGGGTGCCTCCTGGTTCTGGTCCCAGAACATGTCATCATCACCACCATGTCCTCCGCTGCTGGATATCTGGCTGATCTTCATCCTGCTGGAGGCAGGGGGACACCACTAGCTTTAGCCAGCGTTAGCTTCTTAAAGCCGGACTTCCAGTCTTCTCCACTTCTTTGTTGCCTCCATCCTTCATCACAGCAGAAAAGACCTGAGGAGAGACAAAGCGGTTACACACCAGAAGCTGAAGCAGCTCCTCAGAGAGCCGTGAGCATTGCTGACCTGAGCCCAGCGGCGGTTCCTGCTGATCATGTGCGTGTTAGCCATGGCGCTGAAGAGCATCTGGGCCTGCAGGTCGTCCGGGAGGCGGGTCAGGAACTGAGCGATGTGGATGAAGTCCATCTGCATCAGGACCTCCTCGTAGAGACGCAGGATACCCAGACCAGTCCGAAACAAGCTCTCCTCTCCATCTCTGCAGAACACATCCCAAACCCGGCACGCCACGTCCAGAGGGAGGGATTTGCTGTACAGAGTGAAGATCCTGCAGTCGGATGGAGGGAGTAAAACATGTTACAAGGGTTCAGGCAGGAAAACGTTTGTCTCAAATGACTCCAGTCCGGCAGTATTCCCCAGTCTGCAGCTGGAGGGAGAGGAACTCACCAATCGATCAGATAAAGGTCAGGGGTCAAGCTGTTGGTGAGGAAGTGACTGAAGAGATGTGGAAGATTCTCCTCAAAGAAAATCTCAAAGGCTGCAAAATATTTCAACATCTGCCACAAAGAAAGAGAAGATTGTCAGGTTTGTGGTGCATCAGCCCGAGGCTGTGAGGAGGAGAACCGCACCAGCTCGTGGTCCACTCTGAAAAAAGCCATCTGACAAGGTTTGTTCAGCAGGTTGGCGAAGGTGATAAAGGCCTCGGCCTCCTCCAGGTTCAGGATCAGAACCGCAGCGATGAAGGACATGCCCTGGACCTGGAGCGGCACAAAGCAGAGCAGCTGAAAAGCTTCAGGAGTAACTCACCCACCCTGAGCAACAGAAGACTAGATCCAACCCAAACAGGAGGCGCAGAACCTACAAAGGATTAATGAGCTGTACTTAAAGTGCTTTACACAACCACTGGTGGTGATGAGCTACACTGTAGCCACAGCTGCAATATGAAAAGAAAAACAACCCGATGTTCCTCACAGGCTCAAACGATCGCTCAGCCTAGGGCTGGATGATGTAGAACAAAAGCATATCGATAAAAAATAAATTCATATTGACTAATATCAATAATTATTGAAAAATATCAAGAATATATTTTAAGTGAAGTCTTGTCCATTTTATGCCATTCCTTAATTAACCACTTTCAATAAAGAACATACTAAAACTTGAATTCAATTCAGAATTTTATTAACATCTTTATTTTTTACCTCTGATTCAGGAGGAACAATGTGGTTTTGATCCGGGCCGTGGGACGCTGGACCAGCTCTATATCCTTAGGGGGTCCTGAAGGGTGCACGGGAGTTTGCCCAGCCAGTCTACATGTGTTTTGTGGATTTGGGGAAGGCATTTGACCACGTCCATCAGCGGTCTCTGTGGGGGTGCTCCGGGAGTATGGGGTACCAGGCCCTCCGATACGGGCTGTTAGGTCCCTGTATGACCGGTGTCAGAGCTTGGTCCACATTGCCGGCAATAAGTCGGGCTTGTTTCCAGTGAGAGTTGGACTCCGCCAAGGCTGCCCTTTGTCACCGATTCTGTTCATAACCTTTATGGACAGGATTTCTAGGTGCAGCCAAGGTGTTTGTGTGTGTGTGTGTGTGTGTGTGGGGGGATCTGCATTGGTGGCCTAAGGATTGAGTCTCTTTTATTTGCAGATGATGTGGTCCTTTTAGCTTCATCAGAACGTGATCTCCAGCTTTTGCTGGAGCGGTTTGCAGTCGAGTATGAAGCAGCTGGGATGAGAATCAACTCTTCTAAATCCGAGACCATGATCCTGAGTCGGAAAAGGGTAGAATGCCTTCTCCGGGTCAGGGATGAGGTCCTGCCCCAAGTGGAGGAGTTTAAGTATCTCTGGGTCTTGTTCACGAGTGAGGGAAAACTGGAGCAAAGATCGATAGGCGGATTGGTGCTGCATCTGCAGTGATGCGAGTTTTGTACCGGTCTGTCGTGGTGAAGAGAGAGCTGAGCCAGAAAGCAAAGCTCTCGATTTACCGGTTGATCTACGTTTCTACCCTCACCTATGGTCACGAGCTTTGGGTAGTGACCGAAAGAACGAGACTGCAGACACAAGCGGCCAAAATCAGTTTTCTCTGCTGGGTGGCTGGGATCTCCCTCAGAGATAGGGTGAGAAGCTCTGTCATCCGGGAGGGGCTTGGAGTAGACCTGCTGCTCCTACATGTCGAGAGGAGCCAGTAGAGGTGGCTCGGGCATCTGGTCAGGATGCCTCCTGGACACCTCCCTGGGGAGGTTTTCCAGGCACATCCAACCAGGAGGAGGCCTAAAGGGAGACCAAGGACACGTTGGAGGGACTATGTCTCTCACCTGACCAGGGAACGCCTTGGAATTCCCCCGGAAGAGCTCAAGTGGCTGGGAAAAGGGAAATCTGGGCTGCCCCTACGACCCAACTCCAGATAAGTGGAAGAGAATGGATTGATGGATATTTTTAGAGATTATGATTTCAGTTAGATTCATGATTTTCTTAATAACTAGGTTCAGCGCATTATTCATAATATATTTACAAACATGACAGGGGATTAGTTCATACCATCATAACATTAAAAGCTATTTATTTATATATTTACAATAATTTATGGTACTTGTGAGTTTTATGTAAAGGTGCTATATGCTAAATGCTTTCAAATGGATTTGTTAAGAGTATTACCTGCATCATTTCACCAAAGTGGAATGCCTAGACATATAGCTGGACCGTCTGGCTGTTTTTTTTCTCTCTCACAAAAACACCTAAATCCTTTCACATGCTTATTTGAATTACCGTAACTCTGCAAATGTTTGTGCCATCAGAAAAACTCCAACAGTTTTTATTAGGAAAGAAGTTATGCTCTCAAGTTCACCGTGTTTACGGTAAACTTCGCTCGCCCACGGTGCTGAGTGAGAGTTAGCTGCAGACAGGTGGCCTCAGCTGTAGCTTAATATTGCTGTAACAGCGCTAAGAAAGGAAAAACAACGGAAAATGAACAAATGTGCAGCTCTGTTAACTGAAGAATTGGGTTCAGCTTTTAGCAAAACACTGTTTTTTTTTGTCTGCCTTGTAAAAAACAAAATATTCTTTTGGGAAATTTTCCTCCGCCTCTTCTTGCTGCAACGTCTTGTTTAACCTTCAGGCGTCACTTTAATTTACTACCCTCTTGTGACCTTAGAGGACAAAAACGTCCCCTCATAAAAGCAGATATGAAAAATGTATACAGTATACTTGTTTTTGCTTTTCTGTTAAAACAACTTCAGTCCTGCTCAAATCTATAAAAACTTCAATCATTTCGAGGATTCTAACCCTTCAAATGCCAGTTTGATTACTCTACTCTTTGCTGTAATTTATGAAAAATAAACACACACAATTAAGTTATTTTCAAAAATAAAAACTTTTTCTGCCTAGGGCATTTATTACAAATCAGTCTTGGTTATGTTTTGCATCAATAGTTTTTGTGTAGCACCAGATTTAAAAGTTACCATCCTCGTGTGACCTTAGCAGACAAAAACGTCCCATTAACTTCCACTCAAACCAGTTTTTGATCTTGTAACATCTGCAATAAATAATAAATGATTCTGTAATATTAGGCCTTCATTTTAGAGAAAAGTAGTCAAATTGGTGATTTTTACTTTCACCACCATGTCTCCATATGTGGCCCAGGCAAGAAAGTCTACACATGTCTTCAGATCTTCTGCTGTTTGTATTGAAGTCAAAAGGTCAGCAGCCTGACCTCTGATAAGTAAATAAAACATAGTTTCACTCTCTTACTGAACTTCAAAGTGAAGAAAACAAAAACAGTATGTTTATGCACCTGGCTGGAGCCCAGGCACTATCAAACATAACACACCTGAATGGAAGACATGCAGAACTCATGTGATATTCGTGATGTTGATATATTGGGCTCCTGATGTTGGCATGTGTGCATCTGTAGTTTTTGGGGTGACCACAGTGGATGACAGAGGAGCTCCAGGGAGTCTCTGTCACATGCAATAAATTAGATCAGGAGAAGCAGAGGAAACAACAAGAGTTTCAGGCTGCAGGATCTCATTCAGAACTGGCTCCAGAGACAGAGTTGCCTCTTTATCTTGCTCCTTGGCTGTCACAGAATTTAAATGACCAGATACTCAAAGTACAAAGTGTTTGATGGTGCCTGGGCTCCAGCCAGGTATATAAACATACTTACTGATTTTGTTTTCTACACTTTGAAGTTAAGTAAGAGATCAAAACTGTGTTTTATTCACGTGTCTGAGGTCAAGTTGACTTTTTGACTTCAATACAAACATTAGAAGACCTAAAAAATGTTAACTTTCTCACATGTGCCACTAATGGATAAATCACTGAACTTGGTGGTGAACAGTAAAAATTACAAATTTGACTACTTTTCTCTAAAATGAAACTCCAATATCATGGAAAGCATGACTATTTGTTGCAGATGTTACAGGATCAAAAACTGCGGTTTGAATGGAAGTCAATGGGACATTTTTGTCTTTTAAGGTCACAAGAGGGTAATGCTTTATTTCATAGTGTTTTCTTGGTCTATTTTCAAAATTCCAAATTGAATTTCAAAATTTGTCAAGAGAGAGGTTTTACGACAACATTTTGTACCATATGCACAAACGCTGCAGCCTAGTGAACTAGACCAAATTCTTTCTTTCAATCAATCAATCAAATTTTATTTGTATAGTACCTTCCACTGCCTTTACAGATGCCCAGGGCGCTGAACATAACTTAAAAACAAAAAAAAGAGCAAATAGACCACACGACAGATTAAAACTGCATAAAAGAGTGACTAAAACAACAAAACAGATACGATAAATGACTAAAACTCTAAAAATTCATATTACATAAAAGCCAAACGTTAAAAATAAGTTTTCAAACGACTCATAAAGACCTGCAGTGATGGGGATTGTTTGACAACAAGTGGGAGCTCGTTTCATAGTGTTGGAGCTAGGACAGAAAAGGCCCAATCACCTCTTGTTTTCAGCCTTGTTCTTGGGACGATGAGCAAATCTTGGTTAGCTGAGCGAAGAGAGCGCATAGGGGCATGCATCTGAAGCAACCCAGCCAGATATGGTGGGGCACGACCGTTGAGGGACCGGAAGAAAAACAACAAGACCTTAAACTTTGCCCGGCAATCCACAGGGAGCTAGTGTAGGGAAGCCAGGACAAGAGTAATGTGTGTTGTTTTGTTTGAACCTGTCAGGAATCTAGCTGCCGAGTTCTGAACCAACTGCAAACTCTTTGCAAAGTTTGGTCTAGAAACGCTCCATTGGAACCTCTGCAGCTCCTAGCAGAATTCCGGCTGGCCAATCACAGCTCTCTATAGGGGTTTCAAACTGATAAGAGTGCTGTGACTGGCCCACAATGATGGGCCAATCACAGCACTCTATTCATCCGGTGGGCGGGATTATGTGACGAAGTGGAACAAGATGGCGACAGCTCATTTGAAACGGCTTGTACATCAGTTTTGGATGATTTGGACTTGGGCTTTATTAGAATCAGGAGCAGATAGATGTATTTAAGTCATTTATTTAGAAAAAAAAATAAAGTATGTATTTTTGCCTTTTTAACAACAGACTGCCTTGTTTACAGACATCCATTGTGGTGAGTACATCACATTGTTCATTGTCCAGTAGCATGCGGAGATCGTTTGACAATGGTAGAACCCGCCCCACAACCGAGAGCCCTTAATGGAGCTTGCCAGGCTACAAACACGGCTAAAATGGCTTCCAAGTGAAAACGGGGACACTGCCCAAATGGACAAAAACGTCCCTATGATGCATGTGTGAAGTCACAGGTGGTCTGTTTAGGTTTGAGAGGGGAGGGCTTGGTGACGGAGCGTATCTGAATCTGTGCTGCTGATTGGTTGGGAGTCTAGTATTAAGCTACTTGATAGGTTATATTGAAAAA